GATAGCTGGCCCAAGGTTTTAAAGCTTTTCCATGCCCAAGGCAAGGATCGAACCCTCGACACTTAAGGGAGGATGAGCCCCCACCGCTCAACCACACCCCCGGGTTAGCAAGATCATTTCATTGTGCAACAAGGAAGATATATAGAATATCGATATAAAATATGAAATTTATAATAAATTGGTCCTAAATTATAAATTTGTTAAGAAAGAGGAGTAAAGCCAAAAACGAGGAAGAGAAGAAATCGGTGATAAAAAATTAGAAGTCATCACTTCTTAACTTATAAAACTCTTAAAATATGAGTTTAAGGATCATTCCACTTATTAGACATTGCTTATTAAACCAAATTTTATTCTATCTATCATCAACTTATATTTACTTTCATTTAAACATCATACTATGATTTCTTATGTCATTTTAACAATATATGAATTCATCAATGCATCAGTGTATGTATAGAACCTTAAGGGAAGTTTAATTTTGGGTAGTTTTGTCGATAAAATTTCCTTCCAATTTTCATATCATTCTTGAAACTTGTGTTGAACCTCTTGCATTAATATTTATTAATTTAGATGACATAAATATATAATTAAACTCTCATCTATGAAGTAAATCTAATTAGAAAGAGTCCTCTATTCTAAGGAAGATTAATTTTTTCTGCCGATGATTTAATTTGACTCCAGCACTATATATTGATTCGATTCAGCACATTTAAAAAGATGCATAGATATTATACACATGATGAGAATGGCTCAACCTTTGTAACTAGGAGATACTAAAATAAAAACAATAAATCTGAGCCTATCTAAGATAATCATAGCACGTCTTTGAAAAAAGTTCGTTATTTTAATGATTGATTAATATAAAAAAGGGCCAATCCGCAAAGAAATTAAACAAATGATAAAATAAAAACTAATACAAGTAACTATAAAACCTTTCTTCGTATAGAAAAGCTTATTATAAGGCTCTCTAAATATATTTTGTATGTGATTAGAAGTTAATAATGAATTAATCACCGTTTGCTATACAATTGGCCCACTAGCCCATATTCTGAAATTTAGGTGAGCAGACTATGCAAATAATATATATTTTTGTTTGGGTACAACTTATTTCTTGCGTAATATAGCTTTTACTTGAACATTTTTTGGTGCTTTGCTTGCTTTAGTTAGTCTTATCTCTATTATTTTTCATAGAAAAATCGATAATGATAAAGGAAAAGCGACACGGGATCCTTACATGACTAAAATTTTTATTGATATTTGTGCCAAGCAAATATTGCAAAAGGAAGGACAAGGAACATCATTTGTAAAGCCTGGTTGGACCAAAATTGAAAAGAATTTTAACGAAAGCAGCGGGAAAAATTACAACAGGAAAAAACTAAAGAATAGATTTGACATATTGAGAAAAAATTGGAAGTTGTGGAAATCATTGATGTCTGGAGAGACTGGCATAGGTTATGATGCAGCCACAAATAGAGTGTTGGCCTCTGATGAGTAGTGGCAATGAAAATTACTAGTGACTATTTGAGTTGGTTGAATTTTAATTTTAAATATCAGTTTAGACATCGTTTGATTCTGCCTAATTATGTTAACGTAGGTGAACCCTAATTTCAAGAAACATAGACATCAAGGGTTGATGTTTGCATCATATTTGGTGAAAATATTCAAAGATGTTATGGTTTCGGGAAACTATATGTATGCACCATCAGCCTCATAGCCTCAGTAGGCACCTGCTCCACAGACTGACACAGAAGAGGAGGAGAATGTTTATAAAGTCATGCTGGACCCAGAGGAAGGGTAGGGGGACAGTGAAGATGAAAATTTTGGCGTTAGGCCAACAGGCAGTGCAAGGGTGATAGATGACTTGTTTGATTGTAACTTAAACAAGCCCATGAGTAATGGATTAGGTGATTCAGGAAACTATGGAAAGAGGAAGAGGGGTGAGACGTGTGATACGAATAATGGAAAAAAAAAGTTATTGCCGCGACTAAAATTGCTAATAGCCTCAGTGTTATAGCAGTTGCTTCTAAGCAGTGAGCAACAACATTGAACGACGATCCCCATTTAATTGACAAGGTTTTGAAACACTTGATTGACTTTAAAGAGCTTAATGATGACAATAAACTATATTATGTACGTGCTAAAATGCTTACGTGGTTGAGATGGGCTAGGCAAGCCTATATATGACACTTATAGATAATAAGCGCAAGTTTGTTGAGGTGGTTGATACCGGCAGTACAAGACGCAGACACATGGAAGGGACCTGTAGCTTAGGACTTACTAATTTCACTGTTGCTATTGTACCTTTTAAATTAAACTGATTTCTGTTTTAACGTAAACTAATGTGGCCTGCTGTAGGAACTTAATTAATGACTATGTAATATATTTACAATAATTTCGACTTGTCATTTATGTATTTGGTTTATTTATTTACAATATGAAAAATATTTAGTTGCTAGTTATAATACTTGTACTTTCTTCTAACCACAGTTACAGGGTTAATTATACAATGGCCAATTGAAATGATGACTCACTATGGAATGAAAATACATTGGAGAATTGGAATAATGATTCATGGTAAAATGAAGAGAATGTAGATGACCATTCAACATGGTTATCCATGATTAATAATGAATTAGCACAATATGAAGTAGTAGGTGTATTGGTGGGTCATTATTGTGAAATGTAAATATTTAAATAGCCTTGCAGAACTCGTGAGCAGACAGAAAATTTATGGGTGCAAGACATTTTGGGGGGTCACGATGATCAATGTCATGAAATGTTCAGAGTAAATAAACATGTTTTCCACCTCTTCTGTGCTAAATTGGAGGAATATGGTTTACACAAGTCTAAGTACGTAGGAATTGAAGAAATGGTCGCAATGTTTTCAAACACGATTGCATATAGACAATGCAATAGGATGATCTAGGAACGATTTCAACATTTAGCGGAAATTGCAGGTAGGCAGTTTCACAATATACTGCAAGCTTGCCTTAATCTATCGAAGGAACTTATTCAACCCATAAATCCTATATTTCGTAAAACTCATAGAAAAATTAAGGGTAATCCACGTTATTATCCATTTTTTAAGGACGCAATTGGAGTAATTGATGGCATTGATATACCATGTGTCATCATTGCTGCAAAACGAGACAAATTTATTGGCAAAGAGGGACTTCCAACACAAAATGTCACGACTGTATATGATTAGAATATGTGTTTCACTTTTGTATTGGCAGGATGGGAGGGATCCGCACATGATGCTTGTGTATTTGACAATGTTATTACAAATTTATTTCTAAATTTTTCTTGTCCACCTCCAGTTATATGTTAATAAGCTTCAATTAAGCTAATTTTTAGTTATTTTCTATTTTTATTAATTTTATAATGTCACAAATTGTTTCATGAATCATTGGGGAAATATTGGTTGATGTGTGATATCCAACACCAAATGGATATCTAGGTCCATACAAATCTGAACGTTACCACCTTCCAGACTTCCGACGACAAGTAGGATTCTGAAATAGTAACGAAGCCTTTAATTATCATCATTCTAGTTTAAGGTACATAATAGAAAAAGCATTTAGTGTTTGGAAGAACATATTTCAAAGCTTACAAATATACATAGTTACGAGTTCTAAACACAAGTGTATATGATTTGTGTAATAATGACCATTCATAACCTTATAAAGAGACATTCAAACTTTGACACTTTTTTTTGTAGAAGCTGAAAATGGTAATATAATTGGCGAACATGATCAGACAAAAACTGGTCAACCCTCGTCTTCAAATGTAACATCATAGTCTTCATCGCATATGAATCACATTGTTATGCAATCAGAGACCAAATTGTCCATAGCTTATCAATTAATTAATTATATAATATTATTTCGTTTCATCTTATCACAATACAATGAATTGGAGGTAAAAAATTTTTTTATCCATTAAAATTATGTTTGACTTTATATTTACAATAATTTTTTATGATTTATCTAACGTTTTAAAATTTAATTCACTTATTAAATTTGATTTGTTATATTAAATTAATTTAAATTCATTGTATTACGTAAATTTATTTTTTAATCATATTTCACTTTATATTTACAATATTTTTTATGATTTATCTAATGTTTTAAAATTTCATTCACTAATTAAATTTCACTTCTTCATATTAAATTAATTTAAATTCATTGCATTATATAAATTAATTTTTTTAGTGCATTCAACACTTTTAAATATTTTTTATATACATCTAGTATCTTAAAATATTTTTTGATACATCTGGGACTAAGACAAAAAAATATATTTCAGTGTCCTGATGTATCTGAAAAATATTTAAAGATATAAGATACACCACAAAATATTTTGAGGTATTGAATGTATTTAAAAAAATACTTTAAAATACTAGATGCATTCTAAAAAATATTTTAGAGTGCAAGACGTATTTAAAATACAGCTTGGGTGGTGGACGCGCCCTTTTCTTTCACGGGAAGCTACGGTCTATTGGCGGAAAAGAAAAGGAGAAACAAAGGCTAGCAAGAGAGAAGAAGAAAAGAGAAAAGAGGCTTTTTTTGTTTTTGTGCTTTTGCCCCCCGGGGGGGTGTTGTTTTAAACCTGACGATGTTAGGCAACTAACCCCGATCTCACTTTGCTGGAAAAAATAACGCCCACCTCAGAATGCTCATCAACTAAACCCAAGATACCTTGAAATGTAATGCTACATAGCAATACTTGGCGATAGGCTTGTTCTACGTGTTTCCATGTTCTGATACGATCCAGTTGTGTTAGCTTCATATTCGCGGTGTTTTCTTTAACGCTTTGGATCATAAGCAATAAGTAAATAGTTAAATACATGCCACCCGGAAAAATACATAAATTATAAATATAGCCGGTATAGTAGCACTGCAGCACAATAAGAATTAAGAAGTAACCAAGATGACTTGCACAAGCATGAGGAACAAGTTCCAATGTATTAGACAAAACTATAAAGGTCGGGTTTCAGATTACACACAAGCTAAGGTTTCAATAAACTGATAAGCATCGCGCCACCCGAATTGTAAGGAACCGTGGGTTGGAGAGAGCATTAAGTCACAAATAGTCACAAATGTTTCATCTTTAAAGTGGTAAGAAATGAGCTTACCAGGTATATGAAGTAAAAGAGAAGGATGCTCTTCATTCTCATCCGGGATTAAAGAGAGTACAAGGAAGTTATACGACGGAGAAGAACGCGAACCAAGAGGGTGATGACCGTTCCGAACCCGGATCATTCCTGGCAATGCACGTTCATGCTCCGCCAGATCCACCTGGTACTTAAGTGACCACTCGGAGTAGTCCCTCTCCATCTGAGAGACTTGGATCTGAGCAGAACGAGGCCCGCCCGTTTGTATCAGATTTAAATGGCCACAAGCTGCTGCGAGACAATAGCTACCGCCTGAATGTAGCAGGTTAGGCATTGTTCTGAGGCACTCTTGAGTGAGATCGAAATAGAGTGACGAGCCTTTTGGGCTAGTCCAGTGAATTGCGCCATTCCAATACACTCCGTCCCCGAAAGCCATATCGTAGGGAGCATTAAAGGGAGAACCAGATAGCCTCCAATTTCCAGTTTCACTTTCCGAGGAGTATATCATAATCTGATAAAAGTAGCAGGACTCGACCATGGCCCTAACGCAGACCACGGTATAATAAGGCGATCTGGTCGGATCAAAAGCTAGATTAACCCCAAAAATGGCGATAGATTGTTGGACAGGTTGATAAGATAGAGGAAGAACCAAGAATTGTTTGGTAGTGGGGTTATAAACAGAATATCTTCGAGGAGTCCCGAATTTCCCCAGAGACGAGCATAATAGGAGGCCATTGCAGGATTGCAGAATCCTGATGCCGCTAAGGTCGGGGGAGAAATGGAGGGAATTGAGGGGAGAAACGGAGCAGTTGGAGGTGAGAGAGAGAAATTGGAAGTCAGATTGGGAGCCCCTGGGAGTGCACCGCAGGAAGATGCCAGAGACCTTGGAAGTGGGGTGGTGGAGGGTGTGGCGACGACAAAAAGCGGGGTGAGAAATGAGGGAAAGCCAGCCCTTGGAGACGCACTTGAATCGAATCAGGGCTTTTGCAGGAACGCGAATGAGGATTTCAATGAGCAAATTCTCGTTCTCTCCGATGACTTCGGCACTTGATAGCTGATCCATGATATCTGTCGGCATCGGAGTCGGCGCCGCTTATTTGCCTTGTCTTAGTTTTCTCAACATGGCACCGCACACCAGCCACGTGCGGACGGCTAAGACTGTAAGATTAATAATAGCCCACAGAATTATTATTATTCAGATAAACCCACGAGGACTAATATCGCCTAAAAATTTGATCCAAAAATTATCAACCGAAAAACAATTAAGCACTTTTTTTTTTAACCAGGAAAAACAATTAAGCCCTACATTATTATAGCACCATGCAGATTGATGACAATCACAAGACGCATCCACGATTAAAATTTAAATTCTGGTCATGATTTCAGTAATTAATAATGAAGCATCACTTTAAAGAAAATTCAATCACATAAAATAAACTTTTGTTGAAAAAAAAAAAAGCTTAATGTAATTTTTTTCCCCACATAATTCAGAATTATTTTAGTCATAAGGGGGAAAAAATCAAGGAGGAGAAGAAACCGGCCGGGCCTGGGTGGGCTCAGGAGGATCAAGAAACCTATAATATACTCATCTAATCTTTAATATAAGACCTATTTAACTAATTTGATTAGATTAAAGAAGTTAAGTAAATTAGTTAATTATAAGAAAAGTGACACATTTTTCCTAAGACACCATAATCATCTTTTTTAATACCTCCTCTTCCTCTTCTACTTGATTATGATTGAAAGAGTATCTATAGAGATAATTTAAAGAAAACTGATAAATATGATAAATAGGTCTTATATTTAAAATAAAACCAGCTTAAAAATTAAGTCCTATATCAAGCATAGGAGGAGTATTTCATATTTGATTTATGAAAGCGGGCCCCGCGCTGCGTGAGTTCTGGCATGGACAAAGTCCCGACCAGCAATAGCATAACCTCATCGTCAGCGAAGGAAACAAAATCGAAGACTGGAGTTGGGCGGGTGCAGCAATTTCATGGCTCTCCCTCTATCAGTCCGCTGCCCAATCTCGACTCTTTCATCTCCACCCTCCTCACCCCTTTCCTTCGATGTGCTTCCATTTTCGTCTCCGAAATGTTTCTTATTTTCGCGACCCGTCCTCCGCCCCCTCCGCGTTGACATCCGCCGATCTTACCCCTTTGTGACGGCCACCTTCTCCACCTCTGGTGCCTTGTCCACCTCCCCTGCTAAAGGAGATAAGAAGCTGCTGCTTCAAGTCAATGATTTGAGAGCTAAGATTGTCGAATCCGACGTAGAAATTCTTCATGGGGTCAACCTCACCATCAACGAAGGAGAGGTTTTTAATCCCTCTTTTTTTAGTTATTCATTTCTTTCATCTGTAGCTCGCACAAGGAGTTGCCACTGGATTCTCTGTTTGTTTCTTTATCACTATAATTCAGAGTCGTTGTTGTCTTCGTTTTCCATTTAATAATTTTTACTCTTATCCTTTTATGTGGTAAGTAGATAAACGTGCCTCTGAACATGCGTTTTTCAATTGGAGCTCTAATTTTGACTTTTGGTTTTGTATTTGTAGGTTCATGCGATCATGGGAAAGAACGGTTCTGGAAAGAGCACTTTTGCAAAGGTCAGTACTTTCTATCTTAATCCATAACTTTAATTCAAGTCTTAAATGTCTATTTCTATAGCTTTTCAGAGGAAAGAAACCGGAGGGTATATTGTCATGCCTTGCACTATAACTGGCAATGGTGAGAAAGTAATATCGTACACGTTTGGTTATATATGCCATGTGATGTCTGAAACATTCATTGCCAACATTATGTAATATTGCATGAACCAACTGTCTTGTGAAGGTCATTTCGGTTAAGTGAAAAGTAAGACTCATTCATCCGTTTTTGTCCATGGAATACAAATGAAATACAAACCAGCTGATGTGATGGGGTTTGGTCACCCCTTTTATAAGTGGATTTTTTTTTTTTGGTAGGTTCTTGTTGGCCATCCAGATTATGAAGTCATTGGAGGCAGTGTTCTGTTCAAAGGGGGAAATCTGCTTGACATGGAACCTGAGGAAAGGGCACTTGCTGGCCTTTTTATGAGCTTCCAGTCCCCTGTTGAGATTCCTGGTGTTTCTAATTACGATTTTCTGGTTATGGCTTATAATGCTCGACAAAGAAAACTTGGCCAGCTTGAACTTGGTCCACTTGAGGTATTTGATGAACTGATTACTGGCAACATTTTCATTGTATACTACACCTGGATTCTTATCCCTGTGGCCATCTTATGGAGTTGGCTTATTGCTTTGTACTTTGACTAGGTTACTTCTCATAATTGACACAGTGGGGTTATGGGTTCATGCCTCGTACCCCCAGTAGGTTTGAGTACTTCAGCTTCTCTTAATCAATGTGTGCAGACATGCTTAGTTGATTTGGAAAGTACAGTCGTAGGCCATGACAATTGACAAGCTATGTGTGCACGCACATAAACCAGGAGTTTTGCTGATGACTTATTTTGTGGTCTTAGACTAACTGTTCGTTATAGTTTTGCATATGAAGACTTGCTTTCCAACCAGGAAGTTATAATATTGTGCTCTCCATCTTGTAACTTTCCTGTGAACTCTTATTGGAGATGCTGATTCTTGGCTGTTTTAGTGTTTTATTTGCTGATTCCTGTGGCACACAGTAATATTATTTTTACATGATTAAGCATCTGATCATTCATGAGCGGTAATTGTTTATGTGACCGGTTTCTTGTCTATTTCTTACTTCTTTGTTTTTCATATCATGCCAATTGCTTTATTGAATGTTGTCCTGTATTAATGAATGAGTTGAATAACTGGGGTTCTATTGACCTTTTTAACAAATTTGTTTTGTAGTTCTTGCCTTACCTAATGGAGAAAGTCAATCTTGTAAAAATGAAGGAAGACTTTTTGGATAGAAATGTAAATGAAGGATTTAGTGGTGGTGAACGGAAGCGCAATGAAATTTTGCAGCTTGCGGTATCCTTTTCTTTTACACATTTTCTTTTGATGTTTTAACTTTCAGATTCTTGTTGGTTATTTACAGATACTATTCTCTATGATGCAGGTTTTGGGGGCAGACTTGGCTATTTTGGATGAAATAGATTCTGGATTGGATGTTGATGCACTGAGAGACGTAGCAAATGCGGTGAATCAGATTCTGACCTCAAAAAATTCTCTGTTGATGATAACTCATTACCGACGAATTCTGGATCTCCTAAATCCTACACATGTTCACATCATGGTAGGTTATTGATCTTGAATATAAGGACGAGAGCTTTGCACTTGGAGGGAATGGCATCAGCTGAAATGAGAGCATGTTGCTTGTCTCCTGTCATGGGATTTGTTTGCATATATCACTCCCAAAATTACTGGCCAAAAGAACCTTAAGTAGATAAGAGTTCTGTATAATTATTGTGACCGCGCTGCATTTATGGCACACAATAACTTGAATAAGAACCTTTCTTTTTTTTTTTTTTTTTAAACTGTTCTTTTAAAAATTTCAGGACAGGGGAAAGATTGCAAGGACGGGTGACTTATCCATGGTTGAAGTTATTGAGGCAGAGGGATATGAGACAGTATCTGCCTAATTTCATACAACTGGTTTTGGTAACCGCTCTTTCTCTCTGGCATGATGTTATGTCTCCTGTTTAAATTTAAAGCCACTTCATCTTGTAAATATTTACAAGACCTCTTTCTTTGGCTTCTCTTTCCTAATCATGCATGATTGATAACTTTATGGGGTGTACTCATTTGAGGGGTCATTTGTCCTATGTTTTCACTTTGCTTTGAAATCTTGATATGTTTTGATTCCACATTATGTGCCTGCTCTAAAACTAGAAAACAGGGGATTGCACTGGGCTGATTCCAGGAGCCACGTTCGCCTGCCTTGTACAGAATTTCATCTGAATTTCACTTATTAAAATAATGTGGGGGGTAGATGGACCTTACGATCCCTTGTTTACAGAGGCTTTTTATATTATGGCAAGACTCACTTAAACACAAAGCTTAAGTTTTGAAGTCCAAGGCCTGTGCCATTACGCATTATATGTCTCTTTTGGCCAACTTACGCCATACATAACGTAAATCCATTAGGCTATACGTATCATAAATCCGTACTGTACGATTCACATCCATATTATAATGATCCCAATTATCCCTACTATCCTTATCTCGCTTCTTGTCACCATTATCATTGTAGATGTTCGTTATAACTTCTGCTTGATCCACTGCTTTCATGCTTTGTTATGCCATGAATGTCTTGTATTTGTTGCAGACCCTAGCCATGCAAATAAGGTGTCTTTTACCGTCGATGAAATCATGCTTGGGGGAGACATTTAGCAACCAACTGGTATAATATATTTATACTCAACAAACTTGATAGATGAATAAATATGAAGTTGCTCACTGACGTATTTCTCTTAGTAATTGGGTAGACGGTAAGAATGCCTTTGAAGGATGAATCTCATCTCATCACCATCATCTCAATACTACCTCTGCAGATATTCAGTGGAAGTGTACATTAATGCGGAGGTTTAAGCTCAACTAACGAGGGGTTCGTTTATGTTCCTTTTATCAAGCGAAGGAGTTCGTTTATGTTCAGTGTTAAATTATATCATCATCCAAGTTTTCTGTGCATTGTCGAGTCGAGTAGCTGCTTATCAAACGTTTCTGTGCGTCTGTTAGGGTAAATTTTGCTGGGCCATTTATGTTTGAGAGAAAATTACCCTTTATTATTTTCTGTAGAAAGATTTTGGTGTGGATTTTTTGACCATTGAGATATATGTGTTTATCAGTCTTTTTAGAACCGGAATAGGCATTGAATCCGGTTATATTCTGACTCTTAGATTAATAAATTTGGTGACTTTATATATGAAGTATTATACAAAATTATGAAAACTTAAAAGTTGATACATTTTATAGCTTAATCTTGAAATTTAATAAAAAGTAGTCAATGATAATATTACTTATAATAATTTTACTATACACATTTAACAGATAATGAAATTTAGATTTCAGATTTAATTTTGTCTCAGTAGTTTTTGTTTAGGAGCTGTGGTATTCTGAAAAAAATTACTCTGAAAGTGTTAAAACATAGTAATATCATTTCGCCTTTTAAAAGAGTTAATTTGATGGTTGGATATCATTCAGATCACTTTATCTCTTTCTTCCTTACCTATGAAACTCGTGACTCATCTAGACATATGTGTTTATCAATCTTTTTAGAACTGGAATAGGCATTGAATCCGGTTATATTCTGAGTCTTGGATTGGTGAATTTGGTGACTTTATATATGAAGTATTATACAAAAATATGAAAACTTAAAGTTGATGCATTTTATAGCTTAATCTTGAAATTTAATAAAAAGTAGTCAATGATAATAATATTACTTATAATAATTTTACTATACACATTTAACAGATAATAAAATTTAGATTTCAGATTTAATTTTGTCTCGGTAGTTTTTGTTTAGGAGCTGTGGTATTCTAAAAAAATTACTCTGAAAGTGTTAAAACATGGTAATATCATTTACCTTTTAAAAGAGTTAATTTTGATGGTTGGATATCATTCAAATCACTTTATCTCCTTCTTCCTTGCCTATGAAACTCGTGACTCATCATCTAGATCATTTCCTTTCGTCTCTTCTTTACCCAATTACCCCTTAAACACCCCCCCCAAAAAAAAATGACAACCCCTAAATCTTTGACTGACTGTCCAAATCACTTAGGAGGTGTTTGGGTTGTCTTGTAAACACTTTTAAAAAATATTTTGACGTAAGTCAAGATGGTTTTTGTGTTATATTTATTTTGTAAATTGTAAAATTATTTTTAAAATCATAATTTGGTTTCTATCTAAATACTTTTAAATCTTCTCTTTCACCCCTCATTCCTTTTTGTGCCAAACTCTCGTGCCTACACCCCCCAACTTGGGAAGATTAGAGAACTTTGTCAAACAAACTTTGTGACTCCTTCAACCCAATGCCCTCATCAGTTCCTGTGAGTTCATATCCTAAATTTGGGGTTGCATCGGTGTATGGAAGGTGAAGAGATATGGAGGATGTCGTGGCTGCCCGTCCCTGGTTTTCCAAGGACCATCTAATCTTTGGCAATTTCACTGCTTCGGAGTCTAAGATGGCCATGGTTGCTTTCATGTAAAAGCAACTAGACTCACCCGCAGTCAATAAACTCATATTTAATCAATCTGTGTGTATCAGTGCGACAGAGGCAAAGAGAAGGAAATTTTTAATCAATTTGTGTGTATCCATGTCTTTATAAATATTTGCTTTATGCTGGCTAGTAGTGGTTCTTTTTCTTTTCAATGGATGCTCCTGGTGATGGGGGAGAGTTTATCTTTGTACTTCTTGTTTGTTGCATATCTTCGTTTGCTCCATAATGAAACAAGCTGGAGGTTGAAGTCCAGATTGCACAAAATGCTCATACAAAGCCAATCATTTTTAAGGGAAAAAAATGTGAAAACGGTGAAAATAGAATGGATTATTGGGTCCAATCATTTTGACATACTGCTGAAGTTGCATGAACATGAGGATGCTGGCAGGTTCTAATCATGAGAGTGAGGTGGGGAAAGAGATGGGGGAGAGGAAATGGGTTGGGGTCTCCGTTGAGCTAGAGCGTTCCCCTTCCCCCCCCCCCCCCGGCGGCCAAACAAAAAAAGCTCAACTTGTCAGCTTTGTATAAATTGGTTAAAAAAAAACATTTAATGGTCAATTTTAATCTTACATGAGGACGGGACAATATTACTATGTTTTTAATGTTTTTAAGACGATATTGCTCCCCAAAAAAAAGTTTTAATACCTACAATTCCTTTAAAAAAATTCCGAAATAAAATTGTTAGTCCTAAGTTTTTTTCTTGGCCATCAACCCTAGCCATAATATATGCATGAAACTAGAGTAATACTCTTTCGATTCTAAATATAAGACTCTTATATACTGGAGGAGTAAATAAAAGGTGAATTAAGGAAAAAAAGTGAAATGCTATAAAGAGTTGCATTGTAATAATTTGCCATATCATACCAGCCAAGACAAATAAGTAGTAAATAACTAAAACCTACTCCATTATAAATTACATGTTAAATTATTGATATTATATACAATTTTAAATATAAGATCTAGTTTGTAGTAAATTGTCCTATAAAATATATTTTATATTTAATATTAGGGGTAATATTTAATATTAGCATGACTCCCCTCCCCTTCTCCTTCTCACTCATTTTGGCCTTTGCATTTCTTCACTAAATCTAAGACAAAAGATTGTTAATGCTTGATTTTGAAATTTTATGATAGTTATTAATCTAATAGTAAAGTGAATGACCTAAAATTGACTCATTAAAAGAATTGTCAATCATAGTGTTGAAAAAATCTCATAAATTTGGACACTCCCTAATTGTCCAAGTTTAAAAACTTGTCATATAACTTGGTTAATAACGTTAATAAAGTTATGAATATTATTATAATAATAGGTAACCATATTTCAAATGTTAAAAAATATCTCAATTTAAAAACCTAAAAAACATGTGATAAATAATATTAATAAAATTGTCAATTATGTTATGAATATTGAAAAATGTCTTTTACAAGGTTCGGTACTCACTAATTTCTTCAAGTTTAAAAACATATCATATAATATGTTTAATAATGTTAATAAAGTTGTGGATATCATTATAGGAGTTAATAATCATTTTATAAATGTTGTAAAAATCTCAATTTAAAAATTTGAAAAACATGTGCTAAATGGTGTTAATGGAGTCAAAAGACTCATCAAAAAAGTTATTAATCATATCATGAATGTTAAAAAAATCCCATAAGATTAGGTACTTACTAATTTATCCAAATTCAAAAACTTGTCAAATAATGTGGTTAATAGTGTTAACAAAATTATAAATATCATTATAAAAATTGACAACCATATTACAAATGCCAAAAATTCAATGTTTAAAAACCTAAAAAACAATAGAGTTACTCATTCAAAGAGTTATTAATCATGTTATTCATATTGAAAAAATCACAATTTACCAAGCACTCACTTATTGCTCAAAGTTTATAAAGTTGTCAAATAATATGATAAGTTGCATTAATGAAGTTGTGAAAATCGTTATAAAAGTTATAATTGATTAATGTTAATAAAGTAGTAAATAATTCTTAATATGGTCTTTTACCTTGATAACTATCTTGTATCATACTCTTTTGCTCCTTAATATAAGATCTATTTAACTAATTTGATTAAATTAAGGAAGTTAGATAAATTAGTTAATTATAAAAAAAATGACATACTTTTCTTACAATACCTTAATCATCTTTCTTGATATCCTCTCGTACTCTTCTACTTGTTATGATTGAGAGAGTATCTATCGGGATAATTTAAAAAAATTGATAAATATAATAAATATGTCCTATATTTTAGATCAAAATCAACTCAATAATTAAGTCATATATTAAAGACCGGAAGAGTATTTTGTAATATTTTAACAAATGGGTTTGGTGGGTCAATGGTGGTCAAATGTTTTGGGTTTGATACCATATTGACACCTTGGCCTCGAAAAAATAGTGCCTGTAGGGTTGCTTATGACTTAAGAGAGTCACTTGAGTGTTTTTTTTGTAAAAAAAAAAAAATCAAAAGCAACTAGTTTTTGGATTTTTGAAATTCAAACGTCAATTTTGTGAAAATTTTCCTTTTTTTTCTTTCAAGTTTTTAGTCAAGCAAACTGAGTAGGAGTGGTAGGAAATCAAAGGTAGAGCCGGTAATATGATTTGATGGTTTTGGATTGGCAAAATGCCAACTCACCAAGATATGGGGCTACTCCAACTTGTTCCGCCCCTAGCTAACCTGTTTTTCTTTTTTTTTTTAATTTTTATTTTCATGCAATTCTTAAAATATTATATAATATGGTTGGATGATTTTGATCCTCAAATTCCACAACATTATTTCATTCATATAATTACATATGTAATACACATATAAAAGATTTACTTAATTAATTTGAATAAAAAAATAGTCAAATTAATTATTTAGAAAAAAAATATGTCTTAATTTTTTAAAAATATCTTCTCAAATTATAAATTAATTCTTATATTATTTTATTATAACCCACTACTCAAATTCAAAACTTCAAATTCTATTTCAACATTTCAAACTAAACTCAACCAATAAAAATAAGGGTTAAGGTGCACCCAGCACCTCCAAGTATTTTGCCAGGTGCACCCAGTGGCCTAAAGTAATTTATGGTGCAATTTTGCCCTCAAAGTAATTAAAATGGTGCACCGGTATCCCATGCTAACATATCTGTTAGTTTGATCGTTAAATTGATGAGTCAGCACAAGTTTGACCAGAAAATCTGACGTGGCATGTCTAATAAGCAGGTGATGTGGAAATTTTTTCGGGGTTAAGGTGCATCCAACACCCCCAAGTATTTTTCCAGGTGCACCCAATGGCCTAAAGTAATTTATGATGCAATTTTGCCCTCAAAGTAATTAAAATGGTGCACCGGCATCCTATGCTAATAGATTTGTTACTTTGACTGTGAAATTGATGAGTCAGCACAAGTTTGACCAAAATAATTTGACCTGGCATGTCTAATAAGCAGGTGATGTGGAATTTTTTTCGTCTGCCACTGCTTTGTTTTCTCTGTTCAGTAAATGCTCTCTTTGGCTCTTGGAATTTTTTTCATAGTAAGAAATTTTTTCAGAGATACTCCTCTAGTCCTATTTATAGGGTAGAGAGAAAAGATATTTTTTGGTCCTATTTATAAGGCACTGAGAGAAATTTTTTGTATGGATGTACAAATTTACCCCTCATTTATTATTGTATTAACTTTGTTTATATGGGGTATAATGTATATTAAATAAGAATAAAGTTGGAAAGTTATTAAAATTTAAATGAGAGTTAATGAAATTTAGGATTTTCCTTGGTCTGTGTGAAACATGCTGGAAGTGCCTTATAAATAAGACAAGAGGAGTAATATTCAGATAAAACAATGGAATTAACAAGAAAAGCCATGTCACCTGCTTATTAGACATGCTAGGTCAGATTATTTTAGTCAAATTTGTGCTAACTCATCAATTTCACAGTCAAAGTAACAGATCTATTAGCATGGGATATCGGTACACCATTTTAATTACTTTGAGGGCAAAATTGCACCATAAATTACTTTAGGCCACTGGGTGCACCTGGAAAAATACTTGGGGGTGCTGGATGCACCTTAACCCCGAAAAAATTTCCACATCACCTGCTTATTAGACATGCCACGTCAGATTTTCTAGTCAAACTTGTGCTGACTCATCAATTTAACGGTCAAACTAACAGATCTGTTAGCATAGGATACCGGTGCACCATTTTAATTACTTTGAAGGTAAAATTGTACCATAAATTATTTTAGACCACTGGGTGCACCTGACAAAATACTTGGAGGTGCTGGGTGTACTTTAACCCTAAAAATAATGATAATCTAAAAAAACATTTAGCCCGCCTGTCCGTCTTGGCGGCCACGGGTTGGGAAAAGTGCGGGTCACTTTTAGCCTGTAATCTAATCGGAGGGTTCCCTTCTGTATAAATATAATTAGGGTTCGTGACTTTGGGTTTTATAGGCCGAATTTGCGCGGCGAGCCAAGAGCAGAGGGCATATCAATGGCGTCAAGGGTTTCTCTGAAAGCGAAAGGCAAGAATTCCAAGAGCTCCAAGGCATCAGAGGAGCGATCAGCGTCTCAGTGCCTGAAGGAGTGGAGCACTTGGGCTATGAAGAAAGCCAAGGTCGTAACTCACTATGGATTCATCCCCTTGGTGATCATCATTGGTATGAACTCAGAACCGAAGCCCCATCTCTCACAGCTTCTTAGCCCCGTCTGATTAGATTTTTTTCAGCTTGACTATGGGCGTCAGCCCCTTTTTTTCGGCTACTGGTCGAATCTATTTCGACTCTTTTTTCATGTACTTCTCTTTCTGGGTTATGTGTGTTTTCGGATATTTTAAGTAGGCCATGTGACATGATGAAGAGGTATAAGAATAATGGATATATATAGTATTGTCTTCATGCTTAGTTTCTTTTTTTTTTTTTGGCCAACTCTCGATGCTTAGTCAATTGACGCATTCATATCACTTTAAGTCATGTTTCCTATGGTTGTTCATCTAGACGGATGATGTGGTGCTGGTTTGATCAAAGTGGAAGACTGGTACGTTTTGGGATTACCTCCGACATTCCAGTTTAATAGCTGTATTTCTAGACTGACTTTCATATTCTCTGTGGTGCTGAGGGAAGTTTAGAATTGCTGGGTCCACCATCCCTTACAATCCTGCATAGGTTGAGATTACTCATGGAATTCCCATTTTCTGATGACTTTGTGATGGTCATTTCGAAATTGTGATGCGTAATGATTTTGATTGATTTTTTTAAAAATAGTAATACTTTTTCCCTAGTGAATTAAAATAGTAATCTTTAACTCTTATGTTTTTTCCTTGTGAAACTGAGGAAAACCATGGTAGATTTCATTTTTCTTTTTCATTTATATTTTGTTTTAAACGACCTCAACTAGTGCAATAATTTAAACACACACTTTTTGTTATTTCACCATGTGCATGTTAAACGATAACTACATCAGTTGAATCAGCTTCTTGTGGCTCAGAGATAGGTTGAGTCTGCAGGTTGGTTCAATGCTCAGTTGGGTATGCATTTTTGCAAATTTGGGTAAACATAACAGTGAACTTTTTAGTCATGTCTGACTTACATTATCAGGGGATATTTTCAGCCACTTGCTTCATTTCAGCCCCTGATGGCGTGGAAATGGAAAACATATAAAAAGTTTCGTGGATGCAATTAAAGCCAAAGGTTAAAATTTTCAAGTTGATTTTGATGACGAGAAATATAGAGAATGCTTTTGCTTCTCTAATCACTACGATCAATTGGTTTAGGCTTAGGCAGATCTGTAGTTGTAAGTTTCTCCACAATGTTAAGTTCAGCTTTAGTGCGATAATCGTTGGGTGTAAGGCAAGGGAAGAGCATTGGCTCTTCATTATTCTGTGAATGTTGTGCTTTCCGGTGTTTTTAGTGCTGCTTTTTATTTTTATAAGATGCTGATAGTACTGATGGCGTGTCAGAATGGTGCCTTGATGTGCTTGAGGCTATTCTTTTGCTTTGATGACATAAAGTCTTATGATGTGTTTGTTTCAACATAAGGACACAGGAGTGATTTAAATGGAAAAAGCGCCTGTGGAGGGAAGAGATTCTTCTGTGTTTTGTTTGATTTGGTTGTAGGGGAGGAAAGAGGAAGGATTTTAATAATTCATTGTTTGGTCTGGAATCTTATCTCATTATGAAGCTGGATGCAGACCAGTCGTAAAGTGGAGAGGAGAGGGTGAATCTATTATGAGAGTTGTAGTCTTTTTCAAGACAATGGATAATACGGGAATATGAAAATTTCACAAGGTTAATTTAGGTATAATAATTAGGGCTCTATCCTTCCTCCACAACCAACCCCCCCCCCCCCAAAATTGGGGGGGGGGGACTTGTTAAAATTTCCCCTTCCCACTCCTTTTATTTTCCTAAACTAAATGACGTGAACGGAGCAAAATCCCTCCCCTTCTCTCACCATCTCTTTCAAAGTTAAAACCCTTCAAACAAGCAATTGGGAGCAGTAGATAATTCAGTGTAAAGGACTTGGTACTAAACCCACGCATTGCCTCGAAGGATGCTTACTGGTAAATGAGTGTAGATCTTTTCAATAGTGATTTTGACAATTTTATTTGGGGCTGCCGTTCTGGAGGATAGATTGAACACGCCAAGCCCGCTGTTGAAGAAAAGAGTTATGCGTTTCTGTGATTGACCTCTGCATCGAGCTTCCTCTGATTCTGTACCAATAAGTACCGAAAATGATGGAATACCAGTCATTAGGCTTTGCGAACGGCTGACTAAACTGAATCCCTTAGTCTTAAGGAAATGTAAAAGAGAGAACCAAGATTTAAGTGCTAAGGGCAATGAAGAGCTTTAGAGGTGAGAAAGCATCTAGGTTTTATTCATTGCACTTTTAGGAGGGCATATTGGTCAGTCCAATGGTTTTGGGCTTGCTCTCATCATACATTTAACCACACAAAGCGTCTTCGATATTAAACCTTCAGGCCCGGCCGGTTGCTAGAGTCAAAGGTTTAGAAAGTGGGAAGATGCCTTCATTCCAACATCATGTGTTGGTTGCATAATTAAGTTGGCATCGTCCTTTTCATGGGAATGCCTGCTACAGTGATACCACAAATGTGAGAAGTAAACTTCATGAATCATGACTCCTAAATCTAAGAATTTTCGTTTGAACTAAATTATCCCTCTTAGCTTTTGTAAATTATTAACCTATCTTTCCTGCCCACTTTTGTCACTTTTTTTTTCCCCTCATTTTCCTTTCTATTCCAATAATCAAACGCGAGTTTGTAGATGGAGAGAAAATGAAGGAGGGAAGAAATAACAAAGAAAATGAGGAGCAAATTTTTTCTCCTCAACTGGGATTTGGAGAAGAGTTTATTGTGTGCGCATGTCAGTTATTTTCCTATGGTTTGTTAACCTTTTTGCCGCCCGAGTGGAAAGGTATTTGTTTCAGAAATATGTACAAGAGGTTACGAAGTCATACATTTTAACAAGAAAGCTCACCATCCTAACCCTCCATTCCGTTTAACTTGTGTTTTCGAATGTATTGTCTAACTCATTTGTTTTCCAGAATTTCTTTACGTCATGAGTGTGAACGATATTTGAAAAAATAAATTATATTTAGTATATGGGGACGGTAATGCCTCAAAAATGTTGTGGTGGTTTTTATAAAACAAATAACACTAACTAATTTTAATGACTTCATAATTTGTATGGTTCAATTTAATATATATATATATATATATATAAAAGTATAGCCGGTGGGAGTATCAAATTGTATGGCAAGTCTGAAGAAAGGATGTGTTCCTTTTTAAGCTGGATGACAGAGGGGGGCATAAGAGCGATATAAAAGCAAGAGACATTAGAGATTAAAAGAGGTCCCCCGGGGGGGGGGGGACTTTTCATTCCTTTTGATTTTGGTGTGCGTATGATATTATGAGCAAAAGCCCCATTAATAGCCCTTGAAGGTATTATCACCAATTTATGTACCTAGATGAAAGCTCTTCACCTTATAAAAGTTCTTTCAATTTCATATGAAGATAGTAGAATGAAAGTATATGGTCAAGTCTTTTAAAAAGGTTTGATTCATGGAAGGCACGGTTAGAGTCTCGAGTCTCCCATACCTAATTATGGCACCTGTTTTTCCCCCCTCTCCCAAAGTCCTTGTCTTTTTTATAATGCCTTATTCAAAATTCTAGGGTGCTTTATAAAATTCTTTTTTTTTCATATACCCCTATTTAATGATTTTTTCTGATCTCTAATAAATGATTAATATTTGAGTAGGGGTAAATTTCGGAAAGAAGGAAAAGACATTTAGACAGAAACAGCTTTCTGAGCATCAGAATTTTGGCAACTGAGGAAGTAATGTTTAGGGAAAATGCAGAGGCTATATAAAAGAAAAAGAAAATGACACAGGAAAGTTTGGAAAAAGACGTGAAGATGAAGCATCAATGATTGGGAATTGGAAGAGTGAAGGAGGTGGGCTAGTGGGATCCAAATGTTGGGAGAAAGCATGTGACCCCTGCCTTATCTCCTCCCCCATTCGTCCCTTTCGCTCCATTCGTTCGGTTTAGATGAAATTTAAATGCTGTGCAATCACAGATATCACCAAAACAACATAACAATATGGTTAAATCTTTTCAATTATATATTCGTAGAAAAAGTCTAAATTCTTCTTTGTAGCGCTTTTTGATTGACAGCTTTTACATCATCTTTAGTGCAATCTCATACCCGTTTAACGCTACTAGTAAATACTCTTCGGTCTTAAATATAGAATCTATTTTGTAGTGTAAATTACACTACAGGGTTCTATATTTAAGAGTGGAGGAGTACATAGTTATTAGTTCAAATAATCCACTTCTAATTCTTATACAAATTATCATTATAAACATAAAGCTCAAGGAAGGGAAGTTATGTTGCTAATCATAATGGCTATGCCCCCCCCCCAAAAAAAAAGTCCAACTCTGTGCTTTGTGTGTCCCTCCCCTTCATTTTGTATTTGTATGGATGCTGCAGAAAATGGCGTGTCATAGGGGTATGAGCAAGAGAAAATGGATTGAGTTGGGTTCAAGCATGTCTGTCTCAGGCATATAAGCCTTATCATCAAAGTCTTTATTGTATTTTTAGGTAATCCTAGTAATCGGGACAAATTAAAAAACTGTATAATCAGATAAAGAGAACGAAACAAACTAAGTTTCATCAAGTTCTTTATTAAATTTGAACTATTTATTTTTCTTATTCAATAATAAAAATGAGATCCTAAAGAAAAGGAGATAGAAAGATTTTGAGCACTCAGATCCCCCATGATTCATGGGCCAATACAAGATTATTATGTGGCACCTCAACTCATAATAATGACTAGCCACAGGTACATTAGGGCACGTTTGGTAATGGAAAAGAGAATGGACATGGAGATAGAAATAAATATTTGTAAAAAAAAAAAAGAATATGAAAATGGTTACGAGGTTGAAAAATGTGGGGAATCTGGCATAATTTTTTATTCAGAAAGACCAACATACCCTTCTAATCTATTAAAAAAAATACGGCAAAAAACAGGCCTTGTTTTTGGAAATTTATTCTATACTCATCATTTATCCATTCTCTCTTTTCCTTTTGGAATAAGGTGCTTAAATGCTCTGAAAATATCTATAAGTGAGCACCCAATATCTGAATCTTTTTGGGCTCTTATATGTTCTAAAGGTTGTATTTTATAGCAATTTTTGTCCTGAATTATTATCCGTTGTTCAATTTGACCATTAAGGACATCGATCAACCTGCATAATTTCATGATCAAGCTTAACGATAAATAACAGCCAGAGTATTTTTGCTACGACAATAAACTTTTAGGACATATAAGAGCCTAAAAAATTTTCAAATGTTGATGGCTCTTTCATGAATACTTTCAAGATATTCAAGCAC